GTTTTCTTGCAGTGGAAAATTCTGAGACCTTTTTTCTACTTGCACCATTTGCTGACTTGTTTGCCTGTGCTCTCTTTGTGCTTGGTAAAAACATCTTCTTGTTTGGGGTGGGTTTATCCTTTGCTCTAATCCATAAAAACCCCTGCTAACTAACACACCCTTTGCCTCCTTGGTTAGCCAGTAAGGCTGGCTCAGCAATTCTTCTCTTCTGGATTAAAACTTTTTTTCATTTTTATTCCTTCATCAAACTCCACATTCAAAAATCTCTCTGCTAAGCACACATATCTGTGAGACTTTCTTGCCTAACTTTCATTCTACCCAACAGTGGCGGATTCTAAACCCAAATAACTTATTCCCTCAGCTTGAACAGGCTGGGTTACTACCAAATACATTCTAACTCCCATCTCTGTAACAATTTCTACTAGCAAGCTTACTAAAAGAACTCTATTATTAAACCAATAAAAGAGCAGCTCTGCTAAAGCAAAGCCACCAAAAATTCCCAGTCACTCCTGACTGTTCCTCTCCACGGAAATCTTTAGTAAAAGGCGAAAGATTTACTCGCTCTGAAGAGAAACCAGAGGATGCCCTCCTGGCCCTGCCCAGGCCCTGCCCTGCATGGAGGCTCCTCTGAAGGACACGGTCACCTTTTCCACCCCCAGTTTCACCCTGTGCTGGCCCCAGACGGGTCCCCTGGCAGGGTCACAGCCCAGTCCCGTGTCCCCACCCAAGTGTTCCCATGGCAAAAATGGGAATTTGGAGCAGAGCTGTGCTGCTGGCCCGCAGTGCACCCTGGGTATGCAAATTAGCTGAATGCTAATGAGGCACAGGTAATGAGCTCTAGGGAAACATGAGACGAGTGCCTTTTGTCAGCTGGACAGAGCCTGGGCTGGCTCAGCTCAGCTCCTGTTCCAACCCACACAGAATGCCAGCAGGGGCTGGGTGGGAAGGGACCTTAAATCCCACCCAGTGCCACCCGTGCTGTGGCAGGGACACCTCCCACTGTCCCTGGGGGCTCCAAACCCTCTCCAGCCTGGCCTGGGACACTACCAGGGATCCAGGGGCAGCCACAGCTGCTCTGGGCATCCTGTGCCAGGGCCTCCCAACCCTCACAATAAAGAATTTCTGTGCAATATCCCACCTAAATCTCCCAGGTTTAGTTTAAGTCCATTTCCCCTCATACTATCAGTATCTGCTGGGGTAAAGTCACACACCTCCTTCTCCATCAGCCCCTTTGGGCCCTGGCAGGGGCTCTGAGCTCTCCCTGGAGCCTCCTTCTGTCCAGGTGA